AGAAGAAGATCCTCGATAGGAGCCAAAGCCTGAGGCTTGGGTTCCTCGATGCCATAACCCTGCTTATATGCTGCAAGAAGGGAAGGGAGAATGGCTGCCCAGTTACAGTAGCGGTTGCCTGCTCTTCTTCTTTTATTAGCAGCATCAGTTTCCTGATCGCGCAAGATTAAACGTTTTGATGATGGCTGTCGAAGCGGTGGTGGGACATTCGGCATGCCTCCAGGATACAAAGGCTGCGCCATTCTAACAGTTCTTTTCGCGCCAGTTCTGCTGTAGCTGGAAAAAGATACTTTTGGCTTGCTGCCGAAACCTGGTACTCGTTTGGGTGGCATGTTTATTCGTAATTTTGAGAATGGAGAAGAGAAGGAGTGAAGACACGTTTTTACTGGAGCTACTGCTTATGCGACTGCTACAATGGAAAGCAGGTCATGTATTTTTATGCTCCGAGGTTTTGCGGTTTTGCGGTTTGTGGTTCGACTAAAAAAGACTGTCAACCGCAATTTATAGGGCGACTTTAAGCTCTGCTGCATCGGTATTACTAGGATCAGAAACCGCTTTGCTATAATCAAATGTAAACGATTGTATAATTGACTTTACCTCTATACGTACGATGTGTTTCCAAGTCAAACACTTCAGACATATTCCTGAAAGCAACATTTAATAACACCCTTTGATAGAAAAACGGTTCTCCTGATGAAACTGGTAAATGACGTGTTCGGTACAAGCAAGGCTCCTTTCTCTTCACCCAAAATGTGTTCTCCAAACCACGTTTTGCATTCCTAGCAGATTGTGCTGCTGATTTATAATTGCAATAAAATTCCGTAAGCGTCATCATATTGCATTCATCGTCAGTCGGTCGCAAGCAATATTTCTCTATTGAGCATTGAAAGCAAAACAAGATTGATTGATCAACATCCAATCGATTGCATGAAGGACAAATTCATAACGTTCAAACAACAGCAACACATATCTGGTTGTGAGGAAAACAAATGAGCAAACACATTACCTTGTTGTGTTCGATATGTGATTTCCGGAAATCTAGGATTCATGTCTTTCTTTCTTTTAATCACGCGTCTTTGATTCCCAGGAAGATTTGTATCAACAAATATAACATCAACCGAACTTTCCTGTTTGTGCCATCCCATAATATCGTATACAGCTTCAACGACACCCATTTTTCTTGCTCGGAAATGGCCAATTGTGTTATTGACAAAGCCTGATGCATCTACAATTTCATGTGTTCTACCAGTATCAAATTTCGTTAGATATTTGCACAAATATGACAATGCCTTGTATCCGCGATTAAGTTGAATATCCATATTGCATTTCATCAATGACAAAAGATATGGATTATACGGATTCACATATAAGCTACGTAAATCGCGTGGATAATTATACTTATCACCATCAAAATGAACCGTTTCACTTGGCATTTGAGGAAAGCCAAAACGGCAATCTCCAGGACCACAATAAGAAGTACAGCGATGGATCTGATGCTTCTTTACCAATTCCCTAAGAGGATTTCCTTCCGCTGGCATCTGGGCAACAATAAGATTTGATTCCTCGAGTTCTTCTACGGTCTTGTTTGTCCACAGAATAACATGCATATGAGGAGAACCTCTGGCTTGTAATTCCATCACATAATAAAACGCTTTGATACCACCAACACGTCTAGCAAACGCTTTTCTAATGATGTTTTGCCAAAAGCGCGTCCATTTCCTATGAAAATGCAAACAAAACAAAACAGGATCCTCCCACGGATGTTCTGTATTAGTAGCATTAGTGTATTCTTCGGCAAAATCATTACAGGTGAACGTCAAAAACATTTGGGGAGAACCGTATTCCCTGAACATCGCCATAAGATCAAGAAAGCTCTTTCTCTTGAAAGCATAAGAAGACCGCACAGTATAAGGAATAGCCGATGTCACATCTTCACGAACGTATTGCTTATTCGTTTCCGGATCGATCTCATAAAGATTTTCGAAGTTAATCTCTCCCAAATATCTTTGATGAATCACTCTTGTCGAATACGAATGCACTGCCAATTTTTCAAGCATATCAGCAATAAAAAAGATATATTGAACTGACCTTCCAAATCGCCGATCGCTATGAAGCAATAAAAGCTTTGCAACTTTTTTTAATGTCGTTTCATTCGAGCCAAGCTGCCAAATCGTTTGGCCATTTGTAAAGAGCCAAGGAAAGCAGAGACACAACAGATTTGGATCGCTATACATAATCTTGCTGCGGCCATCTGTTCCTATAGACAATTTTGAAATGTGAGCATCATGATCACCAGCTGCTGGAGCTATATTATCAATATCCCTCGCCATATTGACATCCCAACCCATTGTTCTCATTTGAGACGATACATCCTTAACGAAAAAGTTCACCATCTGTTGCTGAATTGATGGCGTGCTATAATCTTGAAGAACACGATTCCCTGCCTTCAATAACTCCCATGCTTCTTTGACCTTTGTAACATTAATCACTACAGATCCATCAAAACAACAATCATTATTTTCACCTATTGTATAATCATACTCTTTCACAAACGCATTTATGCCATACCTGCTCTTTGTTCTTCACCGTATACCAATCCCATTTGGCCATCAAATATCAAAGGAGCATATTCATAATTATAACGTGTAGACACCGCCCCTGTCATTTGGAAATGGCCAAGACTTGAAGCATGTCTGCTTCTACCACACGTTACTTCTGTCATTAACTTGATTGGAGACAAGCATGCTAATTCCCTGTAATTTATCTCCTTTGTATTATCAATTATATCACCAGGATAAGGCAAAACACGGCTTTCTCTCTTTGATTCAATAAGGCATTCTTTACAAACAACAAGACAACCATCACGTTCAATAGCAGGGATTTTCCATTCTTCACAATTCACATCATTCTCCCAATCCCATTCCTCCAATGACTTAGCTTCATTATCATATAACACTGTGCAACAGAATGCACAATAAAAGATTGCCGCTTTCATGCTTTGTGCATCTAAAGCAGTAACAGAATCTATCTCATAACGGCTAAGAGAGAGAACCCGATTGATGCGTTCGTACCAACGATTATCCATGGTGTTTTGATGAAAGCAAAAAATAAAATGCAGTTCCCCTTTTTATATCGCACCGATTTCAGAAGCACCATCAGTTCATTCAACTTACTTCCGTCATCACATCTTATTTGCTTTACATCCTTTGTTCATTACATCATCGCAAATGGTATTCATCGTGTACTGCCTCTTATTGATTTCTTTTTTTCTCACAGAACAAACATCCTTATCAAACATGACTACTTTTCATTATCTGGGACAAACTTTTTATACTCTAAGCATCATATCACATATACTCCCTTCACAAAGCCTTCATCATGTGCTCTCACTTATACAAAAAGACAGGACAAATTTTTGTCCTCACTGCCAAAAAAGCAGTCCGATGCATTTCAATCCATTGAATAAAAGAAACGACAGATCGTTTTTTACTCATCAGATCTGCTCCGGAATCGAAACAATAAACATGCTTGATTACCGATGATCCAAAAAAGGAACGACACGCAGCTGAGTTATAATCACTAGATACTAATATCAATAATTTTCACATTTGGTCAAGGACAAAAATTTGTCTTGGCAGTTTTAGCCAGGTCTCTGGCTTTGACCGGGAAAATCTTTAGCCAGGTGCCAGATAAATTATATATTATAATAACTGGCTTGTGGCAGCCAAGCGTTCACAGCGACGTTGCTTTTTGATTCTTCGATGTCGGCTCTTCCTATCATACTGAAGCAGAATTCAGTAAGCGTTGGATTGTTCACCCACTAATAGGGAACGTGAGCTGGGTTTAGACCGTCGTGAGACAGGTTAGTTTTACCCTACTGATGGATTGATATCCCAACAGTAATTGAAGTTAGTACGAGAGGAACGCTTCATTCAGATAATTGGTATATGCGGCTGGTTGAAAGGCCAATGCCGCGAAGCTACCATCTGCTGGATAATGGCTGAACGCCTCTAAGTCAGAATCCATGCTGGAAAGGATATCCTATGTGTGTCAATATGCCAGAATGGTACAAATAAAGGCCTTTTGGTCTTGAAAACCTACATGTGCTTGGTTCTGTTTACAAAAAGCATACAGCCGAAATTTCCACAGCTTAATATTAATCAATCAATAAATATGGCTATAGGTAGTGAGGACGAAACTGAAAATAATACATCTAAACGCAAGAGAAAAAATCAAAGAGAACAGAGAAATATAGAACATAGTAATTCATATGAAATTGAGAAGATTGTAGGACATGTGTATACTGATAATAAGTACATAATTGAGGTTAAGTGGGTTGGATATAGTGTAAAGGATAATAGTTGGTTAACAGTTGATAAGTTTAATTCCCACGAAATGCTACATGAATATATGGCCACACATGGTATTCAGCTCTAAATTAATTTCTTACTTATTTGCTTATTATAAAATCTCATATTGAAACTGACCGCATCAACCTTTCGTTTACTTGCCCAATTATATTTATGTTTTATGCATTCATTAGTTATACTTGTACTTATATTAGTACCTAATGATTTATTTTTGACGTCAGTTTCTTTTGTTATATCTATATCATCTATTATAGCCTGTTTTATATCCTTATGCTTTTTAAAATATTCTTTTGCGGACTAGACTATGATTATAGATTTTAAGCAAATTTATAAATATTCGGAGTTTCAATTTGTGCATAATTAAAATTATTTTTAATATAAAAATTGAATTTTGTATTTATAAAAAAATAATAATTACAAAAAGGTTAATAAGTTTATTTTAATTATTCATTAGAAAAATAAATGGAGGGGAAAACAAATATTATGGATAATATTCTAGAATATTCATGGATTGTAGAGAAAACTACATGGCCCGTTGATATGATTTCCATACTAATATTTATTAAAATAAATCGTGCATATATTGATACTTAGTACGTAAGGCTTATCTTTATGTTATCATACATAATTATCATTTGCACTGTGGCAAGCAGAATATCACTGGTACAATTCATTTTCGGTAGCGCTACCAATATGGCAGAGTATGTCATTTTTTATGTGAAATATAAAAAAATAAAAAAACAATAAAAAAAGGGAATATTAGAATTTTCAACAAATTAATCTAATAGACAGTACTGGAGTACCATTATACCCCAAAAAAAAGAAAGGATACACTTTTTTCAGATATTACTGGCGCATGCATGGGATGGCAAGTGGCTTTATGCAATTGGAGTGAGTGGCACAGAGTAAAAAATGATACTGGCGCAGCTATCTTAAATAAGGCACATATTACAGGATTTTTCATCTCCTAGCGGACGTTTGAACTTTTATTTAGGCAGAGTGGACATGAATGTTAGTCTGAGTGGACATGAATGAAAGTTAATCTGGACATGAATAATAATTGATCTGGACATGAATGAAAATTGAGCTGGACATGAATGAAAATCGAGCTGGACATGAATGAAAATCGAGCTAGACATGAATGAAAATCGAGCTGGACATGAATAAAGATCGATCTGGACATGAATATAAAACGATCTGGACATGAATATACATCGACCTGGACATGAATATAAATCGATCTGGACATGAGTAAAATCAATCTGGACAAAATAAAAATCAATCTGTACATGAATGAAAATCGTTCTGGACAAGAATAATAATCAATCTAAACATGAATAATAGACAACCTGAACATAATAACAGTCAAACTGGGCATTGTTTTAGTCAACTAAGACATAAAAAAGTTGAAGTAGATAATATATTAAGTGTAGCAGAGCAGAATATTTGAGTACTTAAGATTTTCAATTCAAGTCAAGACATAATAGAAGTTAAGCAGTACAAAGCCAATGTCAAGATATAGTAGTATGGCTGGTTCACTCGTAACAAAAAGCTTGTAGGCTAATGTACAGGAAATGGCAAGGGTGCGTCAGAGACTCACTGTGCGCATAAGGCATAAGCCTATTTTGCTGCTGTGGGAATAGGGCCTGAGCGTTTCCCCTCATTTCACTTTACCCGGGTTGAGTTTGAAACAAATTGGAGGCTGGTGGCAGAGGTAGGTGGAAAGTGTGGGGTTTGTTAGCAACAGCAGGGAGGAAAAAAACAACAACCAAAGATCCTTTTTTTTTCTCATTACCATTCGCCATGGCAAATCAACAGCTTCGACGCACACTTGTAAATGGCTCCTACTCTCTTCACGATGAATAAAAAACAAAGAAAACAAAACGGCACAATCCACGGATTTAATGAAAAACGAAATGAAGGTAACTGTTTTCTTAAAAAAAGCATGTGCTCAAGATTTATAAAGGAGTAGACCGCCGTTACTGCTGCTTAAAAAAACGCTGGGTAAGTAAACAAGGGAAGGGAAAGGTTACTGGTTGTGCTTGGGGTATAGCTTTAGTAGACATACGCTCATTCAGAATTACTGTTTTTTTTCTTCTCTGTATATACTTGATGCACCATCTTGCACCATTCCAACGTCAGACTTACGTGCGTAATACAACATCGTCCTCTACCTGCACAAACGATTCGTACTCACAACACGAACGACGCAACAATCTTCTTCTCCATTACTCAAACACAATCATATACAACATGACGCTGATCCGCCATTGACTTACAAAATATACAGCCTGACGCGATTACTTTTTACCTTTTGCATATACCAACGTTAACATCGCCGGTCTTTATGGAAAATGAGCTGTAGATAGCAGGAAGGATAACTGACGGGTTTCTTTCCTTTTGTGCTGCTGTGGATTGGATGAAAATAAAGTATGTTGACCGTTATATAAGAAAGATAACGAAGAAGGTTCTACAAGAGTTATGCAGGTGCGAAGGATGTTGTTTCGTGGTGAAGGATGGTTATTGTAATTATTGATATTGCGTGGCAGAGCGTCTGATGCCACTCACAGTCTCGCGTTTGTGAACCCATTTGTAGCCACACAATTCCGAGATGCGATCCTTAAAGATCTGCCATTGAGCAGCAAGAAGGCGCACGATTTCATTGGGAATGAGTGCAAGAACTCCACGTACAGTCGAGTGAGAGAGAGCGTAGCGAATGTTGTCAAGGGTAGTAACTTGTTGGTTGTTCATAGTTGTTGTTATTAATAAAAAATAAACTTGCTGTTGTAATAGCAAAGGAACTTCCTCCTTCATAACAACGAACGCCTTTTCTTCTTTGTCCCTGCCATATTATCATCCCGCTGACAGCTATATCTATAGTTTTTATAGAAGCACTTGTAATAACATGCAATCCCATCTCACACCCGTTTATGCAGACAACTGAAACATAATGACTACATAATGTATGATCTTTTACTTTTATTTTTTTCATCCCAACCATAACATCTACAGTAACAATAATAAAACCCTACATACCACCCATCAGCATATATAGCTACCTTATCCATCAAGACCGGCAATGTTCGTGTTGGCATATGCAAAAAGAAAAAGGTAATCGTTGTTGCCATCATGTGTGTGCGAGTACAGCGAATTGCAGAGGAGGATTATAGTTGTGGTAGTGTGTATGCATCATAGGAATATAATTATCATCACATTGATGTGTATACAAACAGCAAAGAAAGAGATGGCCGTCATCACGAATGATGATGTGCTTGAGCGTACAAGTATCAAAACAAAAGACCGGCGTCATAGTCGTCATCGTGTAATATGAGCGTACATGATAGTGAAAGGCAAATGCGTCAGGCTGTATATTTTGCAAGTCAATGGCGGATCAGCGTCATGTTGTATATGATTGTGTTTGAGTAATGGAGAAGAAGATTGTTGCGTCGTTCTTGTTGTGAGTACGAATCGTTTGTGCAGGTAGAGGACGATGTTGTATTACGCACGTAAGTCTGACGTTGGAATGGTGCAAGATGGTGCATCAAGTATATACAGAGAAGAAAAAAAACAGTAATTCTGAATGAGCGTATGTCTACTAAAGCTATACCCCAAGCACAACCAGTAACCTTTCCCTTCCCTTGTTTACTTACCCAGCGTTTTTTTAAGCAGCAGTAACGGCGGTCTACTCCTTTATAAATCTTGAGCACATGCTTTTTTAAGAAAACAGTTACCTTCATTTCGTTTTTCATTAAATCCGTGGATTGTGCCGTTTTGTTTTCTTTGTTTTTTATTCATCGTGAAGAGAGTAGGAGCCATTTACAAGTGTGCGTCGAAGCTGTTGATTTGCCATGGCGAATGGTAATGAGAAAAAAAAAGGATCTTTGGTTGTTGTTTTTTTCCTCCCTGCTGTTGCTAACAAACCCCACACTTTCCACCTACCTCTGCCACCAGCCTCCAATTTGTTTCAAACTCAACCCGGGTAAAGTGAAATGAGGGGAAACGCTCAGGCCCTATTCCCACAGCAGCAAAATAGGCTTATGCCTTATGCGCACAGTGAGTCTCTGACGCACCCTTGCCATTTCCTGTACATTAGCCTACAAGCTTTTTGTTACGAGTGAACCAGCCATACTACTATATCTTGACATTGGCTTTGTACTGCTTAACTTCTATTATGTCTTGACTTGAATTGAAAATCTTAAGTACTCAAATATTCTGCTCTGCTACACTTAATATATTATCTACTTCAACTTTTTTATGTCTTAGTTGACTAAAACAATGCCAGTTTGACTGTTATTATGTTCAGGTTGTCTATTATTCATGTTTAGATTGATTATTATTCTTGTCCAGAACGATTTTCATTCATGTACAGATTGATTTTTATTTTGTCCAGATTGATTTTACTCATGTCCAGATCGATTTATATTCATGTCCAGGTCGATGTATATTCATGTCCAGATCGTTTTATATTCATGTCCAGATCGATCTTTATTCATGTCCAGCTCGATTTTCATTCATGTCCAGCTCGATTTTCATTCATGTCTAGATCGATTTTCATTCATGTCCAGCTCGATTTTCATTCATGTCCAGCTCGATTTTCATTCATGTCCAGATCAATTATTATTCATGTCCAGATTAACTTTCATTCATGTCCACTCAGACTAACATTCATGTCCACTCTGCCTAAATAAAAGTTCAAACGTCCGCTAGGAGATGAAAAATCCTGTATCTTGTCGTTCAGATCTATGACAAAATAGGTTATTCACGAAGAACGGTTTATCCAGCTCATTGCTAAGTTGACAAATGGGTTGACAAATGAGCTGCTGAGTTGACAAATGGGTTGACAAATGGGCTGCTGAGTTGACAAATGGGTTGACAAATGGGTTGCTGAGTTGACAAATGGGTTGACAAATGAGCTGCTGAGTTGACAAATGGGTTGACAAATGGGCTGCTGAGTTGACAAATGGGTTGCTGAGTTGACAAATGGGTTGACAAATGAGTTGACAAATGGGTTGACAAAACTTTCAGTTGTCAACCGAATTGTCAACCGAATTGTCTACTAAATTGTCAACCATGGCTGGCCTTCCTGGCATCTTCTCTTTACGACCAGGGTCGGATCTAATAGCGAAATCTATAACACGCAATTCATCGGTTATCAAGATCATAACAACAGCTCTAGTCAAAACGGCAGATGACTACTTTGTTGCGGAAAGCGAGTGGGGCAATGGAAGTCGGTCTGATCTTGTTTTGTCACCTCGTTCGTCATCTTTTCAGCTCGCGCCTATCATCATAGAGTTTCAATGTCGGGTGGACAAGAAATTCATGAAAAGATTGATGATGTACTCTTTACAAGCGTATCGACGTTACGAAAAGGATCCAATCATACTCATTATTTGTAGCGGTACTTTGTCCGATGATGTAGCGAATCTTCTTAAATCGAGTGATGTTCTTGGTTGTAGGCGCTATCTATGTGAAGGCTGGGGTGCAAAGTGCCTTATCATGGCTAAGGAAAGTCTCTCGTCACTCACAGCTTCGGAGAAACGTGAGCCATTTGCCAGCTTTGGACTTTTTCTCACACAGTCAATGCCGTTCAGTGAGCTTTCCAGCGACGATGAGACAACAAAAATGCTGCAGTCACTAGCCGTTGACCACTACATGTCTTTAATTGGAAATGAAGCCCACCTCATCGACTTTATAAAAGGAGTACTCGACAAGCAAGAGATATTCTATAATAAGATACTCGCTCTCGCTGATGATGATGATAAACCAAGGTTACGTGAAGCTATCCAAGATGCTCAAGTCGAACAACGAGCTCTAAAGCGGAAGCTGGACGAATTGGAGGATGATGACAATGATGTTAACAATGACAACGCGGTGAATGATGACAATGACAACGCGGTGAATGATAACAATGACAACGCTGTGAATGATAACAACGACAACAATGACGATGGTGTACACGTTGCTACCCCCTCTTCCTCCACTACTTTGGAGGATAGAAAAGCACTGTACAAGAAAGGGATGGAGTTTGTCGCGAAGTATAAGAAGGCACGAATGGCTAAAGGCAAGAAGCGCATAGACTGGCAAGAATGCATGGCTGCAGGATGGAAGGAAGGTCTGCTGTTGAACTATAAAAATGCCAATACATTGAAAAATCAGTTTGCAAAGTTTGAAGAAAATAATGATGATTAATAAACATACCCACTGTCATGCTGATGAGATCAATGGAAAGAGGATATGAACATCTAGTGTGATAGCGAAGAAGATGCCCCACCATATTTTGTATAATCAAGCTGGAAGCGTGGAAATGGATGATGTGATCGCTATTGTTAAGATTTTGTAGTTATTCTACATCCACGCTTGATGACTGTTTACAACATAAGCCTTTGTAACGTTACAGCATGAGCGGACACGTTTATATATCTATTCATCGTATAAACATTCTTCGCGAATAAACCTATTTGTCATAGATCTGAAGACAAGATAATATGTGACTTATTTAAGATAGTTGCGCCAGTATCATTTTTTACTCTGTGCCACTCACTCCAATTGCATAACGCCACTTGCTATCCCACACATGCGCCAGTAATATCTGAAAAAAGTGTACATTGTATCCTTTTTTTTCTAATACCATTTTGATATTTAAATATATACTATTGGATATATTTTTTTATTATAATATATTTTATTTATTTTATTTATATTATTTATATTATTTAAATATTTACACTAATAACTTTTTTAATAATTTTTTTTTCTTTTACCATTATCAATCACATATTCATCTATCATTTCATCATCACTATCACTAATATTTTTCTCTATATTTTCATCATTATCATTAATTTCAAGTTTCAAAAATTCTTCATGTAAATTTACTATTTTATTATAATTTTCATTTACTTCTCTTTCACTTGAGAATATAATATTTTGTTTGCTATTTTTTGATGAAAATTTAAATCCATCACTATACCATAACCGATGTTAGGGCTCTTCTTTTATATTATATTTTTCTACTATTAAATTTATATTTTTTAATAAACATGCTACACAGAACTGTAAGTTATAATATTTTATGTCTGAAATTTGTAATGCAGAATTATTATTTGAAAACCTTTTAAACTTAGATGCAAGTACAGAAAATTGGTTCTCTATTTCAGATCTAAAACTACCAAATTTTTTATTAAATTTTTTTTTCATTAATAGTTAATTTTTTATCTTTTTCTTTTCTAATTAGATATTGAAAGTTATAATTATTAAACTCATAACCAGATGTTAATGCATCTTCAGTGAAAGTATTTATAAATAAGTCATAACCACCATCAGTTCCTATACAGTCTAATTCATTCATTCTTTTATATAGTTTCATATTAAGAAACATTGTTCCATCATTACCCTTTGCACATTTTTGACTTTTAGATGTAAATATTATTATTTGATTCATATCACATAAAATTTGTGTTCTTATTCCTTTTCCTTTTAATTTATAAGAATATAAATCCTTTGAATTTTCATCAGGATGATAATACTTAATTTTCGAATCATGTCCATCTATAAATAAGGTTATATTTTTAAATCCAGTAGGATTATTTATTTTTGCAGCTAATATTCTTATTTTTATATTTGAAAATATATTTTCTAAATCATATTTAACTTTTTTATTTATTCTTATATAATCTGTTATCCAAAATGCTTTATATAATCTATAAAATGAAGAATATGGTATAAATTTTTCCATATCTGTACCATTTTTACCATATACAATATGATACAATAATAGCAGTCCTTTTTCAATTTCTCTATAAGGTGCTGGATATTCATTTACACCATATAATGTAACTAAAAAATAAAAAACAGCAATATATCCAAGTTTGAAGGCTGTTTAATAATTTATTGATTTTTATATTTTATATTTTTAAATAATAATTTAATTTTTAAATTTTATTTTTAAATAAAAAAGAATGATCATTATAATTTAGGGGTGGTCAGAGAAAATCTTTGATTTTCGATGACGTGGTTAGCTGGTCATCGAGACGGTAGTCGAGACCCTAGAATAACGGTAGTTATTCTAAACACTTGCCTATAAGTATCCTCATGAACAGTGTCCTATACACATAAGATAGCTCGGATGGACTTGATTAAATTTTGGTCCAAAGCTTCAAAGGGGGTTCCACTGATTGCATGGTTGATAATTTGCTCTGGTTCCTGCTCGTTGTAGTTACAGATATAACTAAAAAAGCTGACGCCTTCTATATCTTCGTCTCTGTGAATGCAACAAGCTGATGCAGTAGCAACCGTAGTGGTATTGAGCTCGAGGATGACCGAAGTAAGAGGAGCACCATGTTTAGGGGTAGCCAAAGTATGGAACTTTTTGTAGACTATACTTAGATGAAGGAATATTAATAGGCTGAGAAATAATGGGATAGAGAAGGGTTACCTTTAGCTAGTTGGTTACTTGTGGACTAGAAATTGTGGTCGAAGGGGTCCTCATGCATTGCTGCTTCCCAGGGCTGGAGTTCCTCAACGTCGGAGCTACATATTATTTAATTTTAGTAAGGAAATGATCATTTAAGTATTAAAAATGCTTACGCTTCATCTTCCGTAGGAGTCAAGTAGCCAACCTCTTCTTCGACGTCTTCTTCGACATCTTCTTGTTCTTGTTGTTGTTGCTGTTGCTGTTGGACTAGAGCTTCACAATCAGCCTCTAATTGCATCAGATCATCCAGATCTGCCAAGTAACCTCTAAAGGTCTCCTTAGTAGTTTCAACTGGGACTGATATGACTATGTAAGTATGTGATAATTTTGTAGTTTACAGTTACTTGTGCTTACCACGATCCATTGCCTCCAAAATGGCTTCCAAGGTGGGCTTGAGAGTGGCGTTGGAGGCTGGTCGAATATCTTATGATAATAAGATTTCTAATGAAATTAAGAAATCTATTAATCATTAAGATATTAAAATATAAAAAAAATAAATTTTTATTTTTTATATTTTATTCGATTTCTTAAAATCGAATCGGTAAGCGAGTTCCTAATATGGGTGTGGGGGTGCAAGAAAAATCGAAGATTTTTTGAAGCACTGTCTGGACTTTGACGAAGTCAAACCTAAACAACTGGTAGGTTGTTATCTAGACTTAATTATAAATCCGAAGGATTTAAATAAGTCTCCGTTGGGAACTAGTGAATGGGATATTAGTTTTGATGGTTCATGTTCTATCTAAGTTATAAGTAAACCTACCGTTGACAGTGACTTTGTGAAGAGTGAAGAAGAGCTGGTGGTCGATAGGCATTTTGAAAGAGCTATTAAAGAGGATTAAGATCATTTAGAGGTGAAAACATTGGTAAAAAAAGTGTAAAATAGAAATAGCATGTCAAGGAGCATGTTTAGAAAGCGGGTAAAGATGACAATGAATAGAGCGAAAAAAAAGAGCAAAGAAAGCTTAGTAGCCCAAGGTTGCTTTATATGGAAGAAGAGGAGAAAAAAGGACTGAAATGACTGATATAGAAGAAGAGGGAAAAAAGTATATAGGTGTTTTTTAGGGTGTTCTCAAAAAGGGCGAACGGCTGTCCGGATGGGGTCCTGATTTAGAAGTAAGGTATTACCAAAATTGTGATAGTCCATACGGATATTTTGAGAGCAATTTTGCGGGCGTTCGGACTAAGGATCCTCATAGGAACCGAAGAACCGATCTAAAAGTCAGGTCGGGTCGGTTCTGGTCGGGCCGGTTCCATGGAAGAACCGAACCGGAACCGACTCGGTTCTCTTTGGTTGGAACCGAGGAACCGACTATAGATTCGTCGTGTCATTGCAACTAAATGCATTGACTGTGCAAGAATAATTGTTAATGGAGGGGCGAGTGAAGTTGTGTTTTTCCGAGCATAGGTTTATTTATTTCTTCTAAGAAAAATCAATATGTTATATAACTTATATCTATCTATTAAAAAAAGAAAGGTTGTGAAATGGGTGGAGTAAAAGAAAGTATGAAAAAGAAAGTGCAAAGACAAGAGAAAAGGGACGGAGTTGGCAGGAACAAAGGAGAAAAGAGGAAAAGCCAAAAAATTTTAAGGGTACCAGGAGTTCAAAAGCATTAACTTTTTTATGGTTTCCTCTGACAAACAATTGCGGGTGTACGGTAGCAAATGTCGAGCTGCCGAGAAAGAACGCTCAGAAGGAGTCGATGTTGCTGGCACCGCCAAGTATTGTGCAGCCATGTTGCTTAAGTTCGGCCATTTCTGTGACTGGGACTCCCAGAAGATTAGCTCTGTGTGCTTGCCTGCTTCCACCATTGGCATCATCGGTTGTTCGCCAATGTATTCCTCTAATTCGTCTTGGCTTCGGTCGATCCGGTACAACGCATACATCTCCTGCAGCTGCTCGCTCACTTTGATATCGACATCCGCACGATCCTTGAACGTCGACTAGGTATCCCGGACAATTTGCTGGCTATACTCCTGCCATTCGCTTTCCCAGCCGCTCTTAGCCCATCAGACAAACTTCAGGCTAGGATCCATTGCAGTGGCGCACGCATAAACGTTGGATGTGTCAGTCTTGCCGTAATACTTTCGCAGCTTAACAAGACCGACTTCCGCTGCTTCGCACAGGTCGATGGGTGTGGATGGGCTGGTCTTATAGTCCTCAAGCCTGTCCATCAGATGGTTATAGCAAAGGATGGTGAGGTTGATGGTGGCATGCGACTTGCTGGCTGACAACCTCTTGGTCACCACTGCGCGAAAAACGAATTATCAAGTTCTTTAAAAACAGCTTGATAATTACCTGGCAAGGGGCCAGATTGAATAAAAAAACAGATATGTACCCTATGGCACCTCCAGCTGCCACATTCGGTAGTTCTGTGCAGAAATTTACAAAGCAACCTGGTATGCAATTGGGAAAAAAAAGTTGATGCATGAAATCATATAGTGGATGTCACTGCATCCTTTGTGAAGGCATTAGCTTCCTCAAGATAGCCCCCCTCAAAAAGATAGTCCCCCTCAAAAATATTTCTTCATACACAGTCCCTTCATCATCCTTTTTCTGGGGGATGAGGATTGCCATGCATCAATACTACGCGGCTATGCAATGACCATATATGATTTTAATCTATCTCCTTAATTTTTTGCATATACACAAACTATAGAGACAGCAGAAAAGAAAAGCAAAAAAGCAACTAGATCCCCTGATGCATTATTGTCGGTGCATAATGTCAAAGATAGCAAACCCACATGGGGGAAAAGTGCAGGACAATGACTATAGTAACAACTAGAAAAAATACTAGGGAAAAACTTAAGGGTGCACTTGAAAGAATATAAGCGGTTCAGTGCTGGTACTGGCTCCTCGCTCATTTGTCTTCATTTCATTTTTTTTTCATAATGCAGCGTGATCGCAACGAGCCTTTTGTTGCGTGTCTTTGCACGTGGTGTTCTTCGGCTGGTGGAGGCTATCTAATAGTGAGCCGCAGAATACGCGAATATTACCGAAACCGCGATTTTGACCAAGCCAGAGACAGGCACTCGCACAATGGTACTTTAACAGAATCGTCTCATAGTATTGAAATGTCATAAGTCTCATTATTATGTGCTGTATATACAGTGAGTGCTATTGTTGCCGATATTGAGAGCACTTTACCGCAAGAAAATCCATCGTCATCCTCATCACCTCTAGGTGACAATCTCGATATGGATATAGACATGATCGATGATTCTCCCTCCTCCCCTGGTATGACGATGATGTGTAAATGCAATAAACATGGGGATAGACGATTTACTATCTTTGAGTAAATAGATACCGTTGCAGGCCCCGTTTCACACCTTTTCTGCCGAGGACAATGTGTTCTCGCTTGAAGAAACAGACGATTCCGAGAGAGATCTGGACGATGATCTTGCTGTCAATGCTGACGATGTTGAGTATGGCGATGATGAAGCCAACAGTGGAAATGGCAATATCGAACAAGGTTGGTTTTGCAAAGAACGGTTTTATTATACGAAATGACAGAAATTAATGCTTTTTTTCCGAAAAAAAGACACTTACCTTGATCCTCCTCCTCCTCCTCCTCCTACTGTCCCTCAGCTTCATACTTATCCGCATCCGTTCATCTTTGTCATTCTTTTCCTTGTATTGTTCCAATTACACTTCGTCTCGGAGCATCTGTCGTGCACGATCATTGACTTTTGTATTCTACTTCTTGGTGATCTGCAACCCAATGTTTCCATTCCTGGCTCACTTGCAACTCTCCGTCGCCTTACTGGCTTCTCTGCGCTGACCGACCGATTACGCATTTATGTGTGCTGCTCTCGTTGTCATAGCCTGTACCTTTTATCTGACCCTGACTGCCCGACAACATGCACCAACGATGACATCCGTTATGGTAATTTGTGCGGCAATGCATTGTTCAAGATCAGTGGCAATCGAAGGGTTCCCATAAAGGTGTATGCATACCAGCCCTTATCTGCGAGTATCGAGAGGCTTTTTATGCGACCAGGATTTGAAGCAAAGATCGAGGAATGGCGAGACCGCAGACGAGTTGCGGACACATTTTTTGACATCTTCGATGGTGATATGTGGCGAGAGTTTCGAGACGGTGATGGCAGACCTTTTGTTGAGCAGCTTCGATCCCTATTGTTGACGTTGAATGTAGACTGGTTCGGCCCATTCCTAAACTCAACATACTCATGCGGTGCCATTTACTTATCTGTCAACAATCTTCCCCAGTCCGAGCGCTTCAAGACTGAAAATGTCATTCTCGTTGGTGTTATGCCGGGCCCACGAGAAGCAAGTACCTCGGACATGAATCATTTTCTCCGTCCATTAGTTGATGAATTGTTGGAATGGTACAATGGCAAATTGATCAGGACGTGTGAGCACCAACAAGAAACATTGGTCCGCTTGGCCTTACTCATCAATGCTTGTGATATCCCTGCTGCACGTAAAACAAGCGGCTTCACATCTCATGCCAGCCTTTGTGCCTGCCATAAATGCGATCATCGATTTAATGTTTTTCCGGCCACGACCAACATCAATTACTCCGGATTCGACGTCGAAACCTGGGCATTGAGGACGTACGAGGGAAATAGAGCCTATGCTGAGCAGTGGCGTGCTGCGCCGACGATGACAGCAAGGCGGTCGCTTGAACGTGAGAATGGTACACGATGGTCCGAGCTTCACCGACTTCACTACTTTGATCCAGTCCGTTGCACGATTATCGATCCAATGCACAATCTGTTCCTTGGCACGACAAAGCGGATGACCAAAATATGGATCGATCGAGAACTGCTCACAAGAGCCGACTTAAAGCAAATGCAAGTACTCGCAAACGGCATCGTCCTCCCGCCCGATTATGTTACCTTGAAGCGTAAAATCGAAAGTGGTTTCTCGTTCATGACCGCCGACGACTGGAAATCGTGGTGCATCGTGTACTCGCCTTTAGTGCTCGATGGCCATCTTCCGCGTATGTATCTGCAAAATTGGTTGATATTCGTGGATGCATGTCGTTTGTTGGTTAAGCCGTCAATAACTATGGACGAAATTGCAAAAGCAAGCACTCTGCTCCAGCAGTTTTGCACCGGTTTTGAGCGACTGTACGGCGCGGAGGAAGTCACACCTAACATGCACCTCCACATGCATTTGGACGCAACGATTGAAGATTTTGGACCCTTGTATGCGTACTGGCTCTTTTCTTTTGAACGATACAACGGGTATCTAAAGGAGATTAATACCAACCAGAAGGATGCTTTTGAGGTGACGTTTATGAAGAAGTTCTTACAGAAGACCGGAGCTCGCGATTTTGTCCGATCGTTTGAAGCCCTCTTCGAAAATCGCCAACACCATTTCAGCTTTCTGAATGCTTTTCTGGACCTTGTGCAGCCGATCCCACAAGCTGTCAATGTTATGCAGCATCAGTTCGATGTCCATGCGTTTCTGGCTTTGTCCACCGATGTTAGAGCCACTTCTGTCACAGGAAGCGAGCCGCTACCGCCAGACGCATATCCTTGGACTACGGACGGATAGCATATATGCCTGCTCAACTGTATGATTTCTTGTTCGAATTTTACCAAGTAGCATATGGTGTGCCTTTCCGTCGTCATAACCAAGCTGGTGATGGGCAAGGTTTTGTCAGTGATCAATACTAGGAAATCAAGACGATAACAACGATGGGACAGACTTACCGCAGTACCGAGGCGCGATCGCGACGGGGTGCATATGCGCAGGTTCTCTTCCATGCTGACGACCGTGGGGAAGTAATGGCTTGGCCTTGCGAAATCCAATTTTTCTTCGCCATATGCAGCTTGTTACGGT